TATGTTCCACGGCTTGTTACAAAGCTGACCCTTTTACAATCCTCACGAGCCAGCGGGATCTGATGATACCCCTGGGATGCGTCCATCAAACTGAGTAGCTCACACCCGGCTATGGAGTCGACCAGCTGGTCGATCCTAGGAAGCGGATATAAATCCTTCGGGCATGCTTTGTTCAGATCACGAAAATCAATGCACATCCTCCACTTTCCTTCCGCCTTCGACACCATCACCGTGTTTGATAACCATTCGGGGAACTGAATCTCCTTAATATGTCGCGCTCCCAATAGCTTCTCGACCTCCTACTCGATGATCTTATCCATCTCCGCCCCATGGTGCCTTCTCTTCTGCTTCACCGGCCTCACGCTGAGGTCGATGTTTAGCCGATGCTCGATCACCTCCGCACTTATTCCCGTTAACTCCTCCGCCGTATAGGCAAAAATATCAGCGAACTCCCTAACCAACTGGATAAACCTCGACCGAACAGGCTCTCCCAAATCCTTTCCTATCCTGAACTTTCTCCCTTCACACCCCTCGATCATCTGAACCTCCTCAGTTTCTTCCCCAGGTTGGATATCCATTTTCTCCTTACCTTTCTCCACTTTTTTCCTGTCCTCCCTCGACCTTGATCCCCCTGGTCGATTAATCTCTTCCCCTTTTGACTCGGCCTGCCTTTTCGCCAATTGTTTGTTATTACTGACTGTCGTTTGATAGCAACTTCTCGATGTGAGCTGATCTCCGGCAATCTCTCCTACGTTTTCGCCCACCGGATACTTTATCGTCATGTGGTACGTGGATACGACCGCCTGGAATGCGTTAAAGCTCGTTCGTCCCATGATGATGTTATAGGACGACTCAGCGCCTACGACCACAAATCTCACCATGCGCACCTTTCTCAGCTCTCCCGATCCTAATGCCACAGGCAGGCTGACTTCTTCCATCGGCATAACTTCTCCCCCATTAAAGTCGTAAAGCGCCGTGGTTACCAGTTTCAGCTCCATATTCAGCTCCCTGTTGATCTGCACAAAACAGTCGTAGAACATCACATCTCCCGGTATCAATGAATACCCTCTTCACATCGAAGCCCGCGACCTCCGCGGTTATCACCAAGGCATCATTGTGCGGCAGGACCACTCCCTCGGCATCCTCCGCCTTAAAGCTTATCACCGGCATTCGGGCCGCGATACTCACCTCCTCCCTCTTCCTCTTCATTGCTCGAACGTGGCCTTTCCTCGCATTGTTCGAGTCCCCGTCCGTCGGTCCTCCTGAAATCATATATATCGTGCCTCTTTTTACTTGGCCTCCATCCCCTTCTCTCTCCCGCTCTCTACTTCTTCGCCCTCTCTTCCCTTCATCTATTTTCCGACCATCTCGACCACCTCGCGCCTCCTCATCATCATCTTCCTCGCTCCTCTCTACCGAGTCCTCCCGACACCTTCTCTTCTCCTTTCTCCTTCCCTTATCCTGATAGACAAACTCCTTGAGGTGCCCTGCTCGAATAAGGCGCTCAATTTCGTCCTTGAGATGCCGACAATCCTCAGTGGTATGGCCATAGTCTTTGTGGAAGCGGATATATCTCCTCGACTTCGGTTGGGCCCCTCGAACCTCGACCTTGGCCACGTCACGTCTTTCCCATCTATCCCTTTCTCCATAGCCATCAGAACCTCAGCTACCTTTGCGTTCAACGGGGTGTAATCATGGAATCTTTTCCCTCCAGAGATAGGTCGGTCCTTCCACCTGTCCTCTCGTCCTCGGTCTTGCTTAGCTCGCCCCTCCCTCCTGGGCGAGGCCTTCCTTTTGGGCGAGACTGCTTTCTCCTTCCTTGACTCCCCTCGACCTAACTCCTCTAGTTTGGAAAACTCCGCCTCAGTCTCCTCGAGATTGATATATTTCCTACACCTCCTCAATACTTCATCATACGTGTGGGCAGGGGTCTTAGCCAAAGAAGTCCGACACGGTCCTGCTCGCAAACTCCTTATCAGCCCTCCCGCCTTGACCTCGTCGACCGCCGATGGAATCTCCAAACAAGCCTGATTGTATCGAGCAACATACTTACGCAGTGACTCCTTCTCGCCTTGCCTCATCGCCATCAATGTCAAATATGTTTTCTCCTAAGCCATTGCGCTCGAATATTGATTTGTCAATTTTTCCGCAAAATCCTCAAAGTTCACTATCGAGCCTGGGGGGAGCTGTTGGAACCAGTCGAGCGCCCCTCCCCTAAGGGTCGATATTAAGGCCCTGCAACTAACAGGGTCGGTATATCCGTGCAACACCGCCATATTTTCAAATGTCCTCACGTGTCTCGACGGGTCAGAAGTCCCATCGAACATCAAGTTAGTATCCTTGTAATTATTTGGCAAGGGTGCTGCCAGTATGTCCACCGAGAACGGGTGTCCTCGAGCGCGCCTCTCGGCTCGACCATTCACCTTAGCCTGTAATTGGCGCAGCTGTTCCGCCATCCTCTCCATCTCCCGGTCATGCGTGGGCCCGCCTCCGCCATAGCTGGATTCATCCTCCTCCGCGTTTTGGCGTGACCCTGCAATAGTGTTTGGCATCGTCGTAGCCCGAGAGAGACTGTTTGTGACTTGTTGAACCGCCTGTGCGGCCGTCTCCGCCACCATTTGTTGCACCTCCTGCCTGGTCATTATCACCTGTTGTTCAGGGGCCTGAACCACCGCTCGCGGCGGTGATCCTCCTTGGGTCATCGTTCTTTCTGGTTGCGTCCCCATTCCTCCCGGTTGCGCCACCGTCGCTCCCAGTTGCGCTCCCCCTCCTCCTGGTTGCGCTGCCGTTGAGCTGCGTGGCGGTGGTGGTGGTGGCATCGCCGCTGCGTCCGCTGCGCGGGCCTCGTGAGCACGGTTGGGGCCAGCGTCTCCTTCGGGAATCGCCGTTGTCATTCCCACACCTTGGAGCACCGGCATGGGAGTGATCGGCGTTTGTGATGGACCAGAAAAACCCGTGGGAGGACCCTGCCCCAATGGTCTGGTCGTTGTCCAAGCATCATCGAATGTTGACTGTAAATTTTTGGGAATTCCGTCCGCCATAGCTGAGCTTCAAGCACACCTTTTCAAATGAAAGTTCCCACAGACGGCGCCAAATGGTAACACAAAACTCCTCGACCGGCTGGAACTTGAGTAATCGCCTTCCTTCTCGCCGGTTGAACGTCGTGCACCTACAAAGAACTCCCACACCGGAGTGGTTTTCCGGTGAAGAGCCTCCGAAGCTTAAGTCAGTGTATATTCAATCAATTCTCAAGAGTAAGTAATAGAATGATCGTGTTTGAAGAAGAAAGGCTCACCCCCTTTATATAGGGGTGAGATACCTGACCTAGGGCTGCCCGGATTTGATGAGCTGTCTGCCCTAACTGCCCATCTGTACACACCAAACGCGTGTGTCAGAGGTAGCCGTCGCCACTATCGCCTGCCCCAATCCTCTTTGGATGCGTGTCCTCCTGCACATGGGGTACGCTGTCAGAGGTGGTTATCGCTATCCACCACTGCCTTCTCAACACGTGTCCCCCTGCACATGGGGTAAATATTCTCCTGGAATTCTGTCAGAGGCTTCCTTCACGCGCCTATGACTAGGCCGAACTGCGTGGTGTTAAGTCCTCGAAGTAATCGACCTGTCGAGGTCGAATAGGTTGCTCGATCGTGTATCTGGTCGAAGGATAGTTTGGTCGACAGCCTTGTTTGGTCGACTAGTTGACTGCTTGATTTCTTTGGCTTCCTCATGATACGACCTCTTCGGCCGGTCAACAGACCGGTTCAGCCTTGTGGGTATAATATCACATATCAGAATCTTTAATTGATAATTATTAATTAATTTTTTATATTGTATTTTAAAAAAATTTAACAATACGTATGGTAAGTGTATTGTATTTCTTAAATTAAGTGTATTAATTATGGTAAGTGTATTTTTTAGCTTTATTTTGATTTTGATTCCATATTTTGATTGTATTCCTAAAAAATGGATAAAAAAGATATGTTAATAAATAAAAATTTTGTTAATTTACTATTTTTAGGCAATAATTAATGAAATTGACGGGAAAGTGTTTATAAAAGTGAATTATGTTAATCCTTATTATATATTAATAGATTTATTTTTGGTTTGTATCCATGATATCACATACAATTGGAACAATATACAGCCGCAATTAATACATTCAACCGCAATTATTGACCAAATCAAGGTTGTATAGATTTTATTGACTGTTTCAACTCGAAATTTAAAATGACCGCCAAGACTAAAAGAAATTCAAAAAAAAATTACTAATAAAGGAAAAAATATATTATTTTGTCGGGATTTCAACTACTATTATAAGTAAATATCAAACTTTTTTATATGTATATAGATATAGATAATGGTAGATAAAGCTAGTACTTATCAGGGAAATAACCAAGACCAATTTATATAATTTACAACTAAACATAAGTTAAGTTAAGAAAAACTAAATGATTACTAAATGAAAATAAAAAATTGACGGCAAGACAATTGAAAAGCGTGAAATTTTATTGATGCATGAGCATGAGGAAGTACAAGTACACTAAAGCAAGCCTTATTTTTATGTTTGGGAAACACCAACTATGACTCTTTATTGCACAAACACAAACTAGCGTGTGAGGGAAGATGACGATAATACTAATGTATGTTGCAACTAGCGTGTCCGTCGACTATTCCGTAGAGAGCTTCCGGGCTGGGCACGACTCCCGACAGCCTGTTGTGAGAAAAATCGGAATAGGTTGCAGCAACCATTTTGCATACATTTTCTGGAATTGTGGCCATAAAGTTGTTGCTCGACAGGTCCAACCTTCCCAAGTTGGACAACCCTCCAAATGACGGCGTGATGGCCCCCGACAGTAAATTATTACTGAGGTCTACCAAATACGTGGCACTATTCAGCTTGCCAATCGCATCTGGTACTTTACCTGATAAACGGTTATGGCTCAAGTTCAAGCTTAGCAAGCGACTCAGATTCCCGATTTCCTCTGGGACATTCCCCGCCAAGTTATTACGTGACAGATGAAGAAACTGGAGTGCTGTTAGCTGGCCGACCTCCCCAGGGATTTCTCCGTTCAATTGGTTGCTGCTAATATCGAGATGAATAAGCTTGTTCAAATTCTTGAGCTCTGCCGGGATATTCCCCGTTAGTCTGTTGGAGCTCAAGTTGAGGACACGCAGTTCTTTGAGATTCCCTAGCTCGTATGGAATATTTCCAGATATTTGGTTATCATTGATGAGAAAATCGGTGATGCATGAGTTGGGGGACCATTTGGACGGGATCGGGCCAGTGAGTTGGTTCTTGCTCAGGCTAAAGAACTCGAGCTGTTCAAGTGTGCCAAAACACTCCGGAATATTTCCTTTCAAAGAATTTCTGTCAAAACGTACCCGGGTCAGATTTTGGAGGTTGGAGATGGAGTTGGGAAGGGTCCCTGTCAGCATGTTGTTGCTGAATAAAGGTACTGGAGGGACCTCAGTTGCCCAATCTGGGCAGGAATATTCCCACTGAGTTTATTGTCAGACATATCAATCCTCAAAAGGCTTTTCAGGTTCCCTAATGTCTGAGGTATGCTGCCCGACAGAAAGTTTGTTGCGAGGTATAACTCTGTCAGATCCCTCAAATTTCCTATTTCTTGCGGTATGTTGCCCGTAAAGTTATTATTATTCAGTGATAAAAGGTTGAGATTTGTGAGGAGGCCTATCTGGGATGGGATAACCCCTGTGAAATAATTGCTTTGGAGCTGTAAAGATATTAGGTTGGTCCACAAGGCGAGAAAATTGGATACAGGGCCGGATAAGTTGTTTTCGGATAAGCCTAACTCGGATAAGTTGATTAAATTCGACAGGGACTTGGGAAGAGTACCAGAAAGGGAATTCTTTGCTAGTGATAAGTAGGTAAGCTTAGTGCAATTCCCAAGCTCGGAAGGAATTTCTCCAATGAAAATGTTTGACCGAAGGTCTAAATGCTCAAGTTCGGTAAGTTGACCTAAGGAAACCGGTATACCACCAGTGAGGTGGTTTAGAGAAAGATCGAGAAACTTAAGATTCTTGCAGTTTTGTATGAAATGTGGGAATTCGGAAGTGAGTTCATTTAGGGAGGCGCTAAAATAGGCCAATAAAGGGAAGCCACTGGTTTCGGACAAATTCTTACTAAAGCCCTCCAAAAAGTTGCCGGCCAAATCGAGGTGCACCAGGTTCTGGAGGTGGGCAATCTCTGAAGGGATATTCCCCGTGAAATTGTTGTTGAAGAGAGTTAAATTCTGCAGACTGGTTAGTGTTCCAATTTGGGGTGGAATATTCCCATTGAGGTTGTTGTCAGATAAATCAATCCTCAAAAGGCCTTTCAGGTTCCCTATTGACTGAGGTATATTGCCCGACAAAAAGTTCATTTCGAGGATTAAGTGTACCAGATTTGTCAAATTTCCTATTTCTTGGGGTATATTGCCCGTAAAACTATTACCATTGAGGTATAAATAGTTGAGATTTGTGAGGATGCCTATCTGAGATGGGATTTCCCCTGTGAAATAATTGTATTGGAGCTGTAAGGATATTAGTTTGGTCCACGAGGCGAGAAAATTGAATACAGGGCCAGATAAGTTGTTTTCGGATAAGCCCAACTCGGATAAGTTGATTAAATTCGACAGGGACTTGGGCAGAGTCCCGGAAAGGGAATTCTGGGCTAGTGAAAAGTAGGTCAGCTTAGTGCACTGCCCGAGCTCGGGAGGAATTTCCCCAAGGAAACCGTTTGATCGAAGGTCTAAATGCTCAAGGTTTGTAAGTTGACCTAAGGTAGCCGGTATATCACCAGTGAGGTAATTTAGAGAAAGATCGAGAAACTTGAGATTCTTACAGTTTAGTATGAAAAACGGGAATTCGGAAGTGAGTTCGTTTAGGGAGGCGCTAAAATATGTCAAGAAAGGGAAACCACTGGTTTCAGACAAATTCTTACTAAAGCCCTCCAAATAGTTGCCGGCCAAATCGAGGTGCACTAGGTTCTGGAGGTGGGAAATCTCTGAAGGGATATCCCCCGATAAATTGTTGTTGAAGAGGGTTAGATTCTGCAGATTGGTTAGTTTTCCAATTTGGGGTGGAATGGAATTGTTGAACATATTGTTGCTGAGGATGAAGGAAGTGAGGTTGGACAGGGTGTCGATATTTTGTGGTATGGAACCGCTGAAATTGTTTCCATCGAGGTTTAGAATTTGGAGGGCGGATAATGAGCTGAGATCGAGATTAGCAAGAGTTCCGGTGATACCAGCATTGGTTAGGTTAAGAGCGATAACCAAACTATTATTATCGCATTTAACACCATACCAAGCACACAAGTTTTTGGTGTTACCTTCGGACCATGTATTGTTTAGAGATTGGGGTAATGTAAATAAAGTGTTTTTCCATTTCAACAGTGCTATGGCTGCTGGGTCTACAGCTACATTTCCTGAGGAAGATAATGTATTGAGGAGGAAAATGTGAAACAACAAAACGAGGGTGGTTATTTGGGGTGGGTTCATCATTGCTTTTTGAAATGGTTATTTGGGGTGGTTAATGCCACAAAGGTGTTGTCCTATTTATACAAGAGTCTGCCTAATTTTAAATTATTCATTAAAGTGATAGAAGAACCATGTAAGATTTACTTTTGACAAAAGCCGTAAAATAATATCTTGATGTTTTTTTTTCAAGCAAAGGACTTAAAAGAGAAGATCTATTATTAACACCGCGTAGGTGGCATGCACTCATTGGTGATGTTAATATGTTAAAGAAAAATACATCACCAATGAATGCATGCCACCTACGCGGTGGACATATTAACATGTGTCCACCGTGAGTAGGGGAGCATTTCTACTAACTTCTTTTAATTAAGTCTAGATAATATTTTGATAACTACGTCAGAGGGAGAGACGATGGATAGGGGAATTAGTGGCAGGGCCCACTTGAATAGTGGGTTAATTAATTATTGAGTGTATATGTAATTACAAATTGACCCTTAATTAGTGGTCAACTACATATATTTGACTATAATATTACTACTTATTTACTATATTGTCATTAATGATTAACCAATATTTATTAAAGTTTGACTATATCATGACCATTGATATGATTAATCCATTGGTTGAGAATCATTCTTATTTCTTTCATTGTGTTTCATTCTCATTTGAGCGCACTTCTATATATATATATGGATTGGTTCCAATGCATCCACATTCTTAAAGTGAGGACGTGAGGCTCATTTGTAGCCACAAGATTTGGTACATAATGGGTGGTTTTTCTTTTTATTATTTTAATTATTTAAATATTATTTTGACCCGTTGACTCCGGCGTTGAACGTTGACTTTCGGCGTTGAACGTTGACTCCGGCGTTGACTTCCGGCGTTGATCGTTGACTTCCGGCGTTGACTGTTGACAACTAAACTTGCAATTAAATATAAATAACCTAACATGCTATGTTAATTGTCTGATTGTGCTAGGATTTTTTTTTTTAATTAAAACGCCCCGGGGGCGGGGGATTGGGCTGGATCCCCAACCTGTATATAGATCAAGGCCCCAAGAGGGGCCCAAATATCAACCAAATACAATCAACATAGTCTCACAATCAAAAGAGAAAACAAAAGCAGAAAAGGAAAAGGAAAGGAAATACTACAAGGTCTGTCATCGGGCTAACAGGTGCCCGGAATAAGTGTATGGTCAGATGAGAGAAATAAAATCTACTAAAACCGAAAAGATGGGTATCCAAGCTGGTCCATCCGTACCAGCGTGCGAAGACAGAGTGGAGCAGTGGTGTCGGTCTGATACGTGTGTAGGTCCGGTGTGGTGGCACCAAGGCTAGCTAGGTAATCAGCAGGTCTGTTCCCCTCACGGAAGATGTGCGTAATCCTGTGATGGACAGACCGTAGGAAAGCTCTAATGCGCATAAGCGGGTGCTGAATCTGCCACGAGCCCTGGTGGCCCGAGGTCAGGATGGTGACGACCGCCGCAGCGTCCAGCTCGATCCAAATGTGACTAGAGAGGTGGGCAGCGAGATGAAGGCCAATCTGTAGAGCCTGAATCTCTGCATCGTAGCTCGAGGAGGCCTGAAGGGACGTGTGGAAGGCGGTGATAAGAGCGCCGCTGTGGTCCCGGATCAAACCTCCTCCTCCGGCAAATCCGGTTTGGCGATCAAAAGAGCCATCAGTGTTCAGCTTGACCCAAGGTGGGTCGGGTCGAAGCCAAACGACAGCTCTGGGTCGAGGAGACCGAACAGGCGCAGGGGGAGCTAACAAGTAGCGGTGTGGTGGCGTGCAGCCTGTCCAGTCTCTGGAAGTGAGCCTGCCCAATGATGTGAGGAGTGAAAGATGTCTCTGTACCTGCAAAACAATGTGAGAAGGCAAAAAAATAATATCCCTATGCTTCGCACTATTCCTTTCCGTCCAGGTGAACCAAAGGATCAAACAATGAATGAGGAAGCCCACGTGTCTAAAGTGTGTGCTCTGTGAGAAAAAACTCAGGAGCTCAAAGAAACTGTCTGTGGTGGGTAGGGGTATATGAGTCCAAGTGGCAAAATGCTCCCACACTCTCCTCACAATCTCACTCTCTAGAAACAGGTGGCTAAAGGTCTCGGTCTCATGACGTCCGGTCTCAGAACAACACACACACCGGGAGGGGAAGGAGAACCCCCTCGCATGTAAAACAGTGTCCACGGGTATCCGGCGCAGAAGGA